GACTTACAAAAGGGACCTGTTAAACTACTGAAGCTGTTCCTGAGAGGAGACAAAGAGAAAATGATAAGAAATCAATTTATGGGACACTATTTGTTGGGATTATAGACCAAGCTTTTTAAAAGTAAACAGAAGGACTACAAAGTGAACTTATTTGATCAGAGTTAAAATATATATATTGTGGTTTCTGGTAGCTTCTTTATGACCAGGATGAATGATGATGCTTTAAAGATTTGTTTATAATGGGGGAGAGATTTCATTTGCTTTATTTCTTAGAGAAGGTAATACATTAGAACACAAAATGGATTTATTTCATTAAGGTTAAAATATAAATATTATTTCTGGTAGCTCTTAATGGACTTTTGCTGAATAGAACTGAATGAGTTTTTATAATTTGTTTATTGATAAGAGATGAGTTATGGGAAGAAGTTATTTTTTTTATTATTGAAATACTAAAGAAGGTGTTAAGTTATGGAAGTTGTTTATGCTTATCTGGAAGGAGGGGAAAGTCACATAAACTGAATGAGTTTTTATAATTTGTTTATTGATAAGAGATGAGTTATGGGAAGAAGTTATTTTTTTTATTATTGAAATACTAAAGAAGGTGTTAAGTTATGGAAGTTGTTTATGCTTATCTGGAAGGAGGGGAAAGTCACATATTTCTTTTTTTCTTATTTTTTCCTTTTTCCTTTCCTTTTTTCTCTCTCTTTGCACTTTTCTTTTTCTTTTCCTCACTTTGTATGTTTCTCTTAGTTTGTATTACTCTTTTATTTTTGTATGTGTAAACTTTAATAAAATTATTACCAAAAAGAAGAAAAGGAAGAAGAAGAAAAGAAAAGCCCCAAACAACTATGTTGTATTGTTCTGAAACCATTTTTATTCACTTACATCAGTTAAAGTGTTGTAAACATTTTCATTTTACTTATAATTTATAACTTTTAAATTAATATTAATTCAGAAAATGCTTTGTAATCTTTGAAAAGTTTAAATTTGTATTAATAATAAAATGTTTTCAATACAGTTTTACTTCACTCATTTTATTCTTAAACTTGGTAAGAAATTAAAGAGAACAATCAAAGGAAAATTAAAGAAGTGAAATAATTAAGAAAGAAATGATAAAATCTGTTTAAGAGGTAGAGTATTCATAGAAATAATTGTTTTCTGTATATTCCCTTTAGATTAATCTGGATTTACTTTTGAAACTTTGTTTATTTTTAACTTTGAAGACTGGAGAATTGAAAAATGTGTCTTTTGTGAAGTCCTCTCCTCTCCTCAATTTGCTATAAAACAAAATGGTTAAATCACTATTGGGTTTGAAATTGATGAACATTCATACAGTGTTACTGATACTAATAAATATTACAATTCATAGAATGTCTATCATTAGATTATTTGCATGTTAATTCTTTACACTGCAGGCCTAGAGTTACCAGATGTCTGGCAAAAGGAGGACATGTCCTCCTTTTTGTCCTCATGATCTCAGTCCAACAGGCATAGCTTTAAAATCAAATATTGTCCAGCTTTTTCAGTATCTAACAAGCTGTCTCTTCCTGTGGAGCTTTTCTCAGCAGCACAGCCCTTCCCTAATAAGTGCTAACTGCAAGTGAACAAGCTCCATTCTGTGACCTTAATCAGTTGATTAGTACCCTCCAGCCTGCTACTGCTACCTAAAATTGACAAGACCTTATTCAGTTACATGCTGAAGGCTTTTCCTCCTAGCTAACTCTAGCACATTCCTGCGATTGAAAACCAGGTTTTCTGATGCTGGAAAAAGTAATTTTATATGCATGCAAGCCTAAGTACATTTTTTTTCCAGTTTTTCACTGTAACTTTTGTCATGGTTGCCAAGAAAGTTAAACAGTGTGACCTCCTTTTCCCCCCATTTGCCCTCCTTTCCAATTGTCTGTATCTTCCTTTGCCTGTGCAGATATCTGGTAACCCTGTGCAGGCCTCACTCCTGTGATTAAAGGTTGGCAGTGCTCCTAACATTATCAGATGAGTCATTCTGAAACTATTCTTATTCTTCCCTTTTAAATTTTTCTGTGGTAAGAAAAAGGGTGAGAAGTTGACATCAATTTTACTAGTTAGGGTGCTGGATCTGGACAAGGGAGGATCTAGATTCAAGTCCTCACAGAACAAGGAGCACACTGAGAAAGTTTGGGCAAGTCATTCTCTCTTAGCCCAGGTACCTCACTTGGCAATTAGAGAGACTGATTTTTCCCTGTCTCTTGGGCTGCACCCTCCTTGATCACAGAACATTGTTATGTGCACCATTACTGAAGCAGTGAGATAATGAGTGTTCTGGAGGACTAGAAAGAGGCAGGTAGGGAGCAATCTCACCAATTTACCTTCTGATAAATGGATGTTTTGTCACTGTCCACACACACTGGACAATCATTCTGTGAATGAATGGGCAAGCCCCCATAGCAGCCATTTTCTTTGAGTTCTTATGACACTCCAAATGTGTCCATTGGCCCCAAGAGATTAGGTATACCTGCTCTAGTCAGTGGAATCATCTGGAGAAAGCCCCCAGCATAGTAGTATATTTTGGATTTCTACTGCAAAGAAATAATTGAATTTGACATAAAATCCCCCAAAAGTCTAAAGAATTGAGAGGTCTGAAATGTTCAGCCTATCCATTCTAGTGACATAGCTCCAACTATATCCAGTTCAGTTATCAAATGGGACAGAAAGTTATCAAATGGGACATGTGGTTTCTAGGCTGAAAAAATTGCATACTTCTAGCATAAAAAAAGTAGTGCAGCATGTGAAGTAATTGTAAAGCTGCACTGAAGTAAGCCAACCATAGTGGTAATAAAAGGACCTTGAAAAATTTCATAAAATGTTGACTAATAGTTTCTTCTAACATTTTGCTACTATATCCATTTCTCATGCCTGAAATGCACTGGGAATTTCAACCTATTCCATCAAAATTGTGTGAAGAGGGGAAAAAAAAGCTAAACATAAATTTCAGTTAATAATGACATCAACAGCCTTGTTTATAGACGTTGTTGAAATAAATGAATACAACTTTCATTTTATAGACTTTAAAAGGTTTGGTGTACTAAATGTGTAATCCATTATAAATATCTACTCAGTAAATAATTGCAGAAACCACATTGTTGGTTAAAAACAACAACAACCCTCTACTTGGATATATCTGTAGTTATCAGAAATCAAGCTCAACAAAGGGAGAACTTACTTTTCCAAAAACAAAACAAATTAGGGAAGAAATCTATTCTAACCTTTTGATACTGGGTTCTTTGTAGCAAACTGTTGCTCCCCTGCATCTAACAGGTGGTACAGAATGTTCTTCTGTATCTTTCTTGGATTTGGGATATGAATTTATGCCAATATTTGTCAGTTCTTGAAGAGGCTTGTTCCCTGTGAATGCAACAACACTTAAGTTACTAATTAGAAATATTTTTGGATTTTTAAAAAATCATCTTAAATGTATGTTTTTTTTAAATATTATGCTGTAGAGGATACTGTGTCAGACAAATTAGGGAGACTTAGATTCAAATCTTACTTAACCATAATATATGGTATCATCTCTGCATGAGTACGTATGTCTGGATGACACAGGGAGGACTTTGAAGCAACCATGTCTTTGAAGCAAACTTTGAGATGGTTTAGATCTTCATAAATTTATTTTCCTATTCTGGCCAAACTCACTGGAGAAAGCAAGTTGCCCACTGTGCTATAGAGCACAGGAAGACCTAAGTCTATATAAATCTCTTAGGTTTTCATTAGAGCAAACTTAAAAACAAAGACAACTTTCAATCAACTAATTCATATCAATTTCTGTCAATGACTAGATCAAAAAGAGTCTTGTGATATTTTGAAATGTTAAGAGATTAACTGTGCATAAGCTTTCATGAGGACCAGTGTCGGATGTGTTATTTTCACTTGTCACATACATTAGAAAAATAAATTGACACCTAGAGTGAAGGCCATGAAATACAAGCAAGAGTACAATCTCTGACATGTGTGTGAGGGTTGGTAGTGTGAGAAGGCAGGGAGAAGTGAGGGCCTCAAACGAACCATGTTTGCTAGGGGAGAGCGCTGTGCACCAGGGGGAAGCCTTGGGGGGGTGGCAGGAGGGAGGATGGGCAGAAGGCACACTC